TTTTCCCAGTGGGTGTTGGTGTTCTGCTGTTTGTGGCTCCCTCTCCTGGGTTTGGATGCACCAGGGAGGACCCACTTTAATCCCGCCAAGTCCCCTGTTCTCCGGGAGTCTGTGTGGCTCCAGCCGAGAGCTTAGCAGGCTACAGCGTTCCCAGGGCCCGTGCAGGGTCGCAAGGGAGGCGGTGGGAATTATTTCCCGCTGAGTTCCCTGGTCCCGCTGAGTTCCCTGGTCCCGCCGAGTTCCCTGGTCCCGCCGAGTTCCCTGGTCTCACCGAGTTCCCTGGTCCAGCTGAGTTCCCTGGGGCCCTCGAGTCTGTGTGGCTCCAGTGGAGAGTTTAGCTGGCTACAGAGTTCCCAGGGCCCATGCAGGGTGGCAAGGGAGGTGGTAGGATTAACTTCCCGCCGAGTTCCCTGGTCTTCGCCAGTCTGTGTGGTTCCAGCAGAGAGTTTAGCTGGCTACAGAGTTTCCAGGGCCCGTGCAGGGTGGCAAGGGAGACGGTAGGATTAACTTCCCGCCGAGTTCCCTGGTCCCGCCGAGTTCCCTGGGGCCCGAGAGTCTGTGTGGCTCCAGCGGAGAGTTTAGCTGGCTACAGAGTTTCCAGGGCCCGTGCACGGTGGGAAGGGAAATGGTAGGATTAACTTCCCGCCGAGTTCCCTGGGGCCCACGAGTCTGTGCGGCTTCAGCGGGGAGTTTAGCCGGCTACAGAGTTCCCAGGGCCGTGCACGGTGGGAAGGGAGACGGTAGGATTAACTTCCCGCCGAGTTCCCCGGTCCCGCCGAGTTCCCTGGGGGCCGCGAGTCTGTGCGGCTTTAGCGGAGAGTTTAGCCGGCTACAGAGTTCCCAGGGCCATGCACGGTGGGAAGGGAGACGGTAGGATTAACTTCCCGCCGAGTTCCCCGGTCCCGCCGAGTTCCAAAGGGAACATTCTTAAAGGTTATATACCAATATGTACAATAAGCAGCTATGTACTGAAATTTTCTTTTTTTTTTTTTTTATCCTCACCCGAGGATATTTTTCCATTTTTTTGTACAGGTAGAGTGGGAGGGAGAGAAAGGAAAGAGAGAGAGAGAGAAACATCGATGTGAAGGGACACATCGAGTGGCTGCCACCCGCATGACCAACCAGGGCCAGGGACAAACTGCAACCGAAGTACGTGCCCTTAGCAGGAACCAAACCCGGGTCTCTCCGGACCGCAGGCTGACGCTCTAACCGCTGAGCCAAACTGGCCAGGGCATGTACCAAAATTTTCTAAGAATATGTTTTCTAGATGGTGGAATTAAATAACATTTTAATTTCTATATTTTGCTCCTCTGTATTTCTAATCTTTTTTTGTTGTTGAAAGTATTACAAATGTCCTCATTTTTTCCCCATTGACCACCTCCTTCCCTATCCCACTATCCTCCTGCCTTCCCCAGCCTAGTATCCATGTTGATTGCTTGTGCATATATGCATATAAGTTATTTGGTTTATCTCTTCCCTCCCCTCCCATCCCCCATCCCTCTGAAATTTGTCAGTCTGTTCCCTACTTCCATGATTCTGGATCTCTTTTGATTGACAGCTTATTTTGTTCATTATGTTTCACAAATAAGTGAGATCATGTGGTACATGTCTTTCTCAGACTGGCTTATTTTGCTTAGCATAATACTTTCCAGGTCCCTTTATGTTATCTCAAATGGTAAGAGATCTCTCTTATGGCTGCATATTATTCCATTGTGTAAATTTACCAGTTTTTTGTTTTTTGTTTTTTTTGTTTTGTTTTGTTTTGTTTTTTTATCCACTCATCTACTGGTGGGCACTTGGGCTGTTTTCAGATCTTAGCTATTATATAGAGTGCTGCTATGAACATAGGGTTGCATATATTTTTCTGATTGGTGTTTCAGGCTTCTTAGAATATATTTCAAGAAGTGGGATCACTGGATCAAATGGCAGTTCCATTTTTAATTTTTTGAGGAAATATCATCTTGTTTTCCATAGTGGCTGCACTAGAGTCTGCATTCCCCCCAGTAGTGTGCTAGGGTACCTTTTTCTTCACATCCTTGCCAACACTTGTTGTTTGAGGATTTGTTGATGGCAGCCATTCTGGCAGGTGTGAGGTGATTATCTCATAGTCATTTTAATTTGCATCTCTCTGATCATTAGCGATGATGAGCATTTTTTTCCATGTCTCCTGGCTTTTTGTATGTCCTGTGTAGAGAAGTGTTTATTCAGGTCCTTCGCCCATTTTTTAATTGGATTGTTTGTCTTCTTTTTGTTGAGTTGTATGAATACTCTATTTATTTTGGATATTAACCCCTTATCCAATGTATCATTGGAAAATATGTTCTCCCAGAGAGTGGGTTCCCTTTTCATTTTGATGCTGGTTTCTTTTTATTTTTTTTTCCTTTATTGATTTTTAGAGAGAGAGGAAGGAAGAGTGAGAGAGAAATAGAAACATCAATGAGAGAGAACATCGACTGGCCGCCTCCTGCATGGCCCCCACTGGGGATCAGGCCCACAACCTGGGCATGTGCCCTGACCGAAAATCGAACTGGCGACCTATTGGTGCATGGGTCGACACTTAACTACTGAACCACACTGGACAGGCGATGCTGTTTTCTTCTGCCATGCAGCAGCTTTTAAGTTGGATGTAGTCCCATTTATTAATTGTTTTCCTTTATTTCTCTTGCCCTAGGTGATGTATCAGTGAAAATTTCACTACATATGATGTTTGATATTTTTTTGCCTACATTTTTTTTCTAAGATTTTTATTATCATGAGTGTGTATTGCCTGGTAGTAAAGACTAAACAAACAGTGATTTAAGCAAATGAAATGGGAGCTGGGGCTACTTGGATAGCTAAGGGTGGGTATTAAAACTCATACTAGGTGAACAGTGCCAACATGGGACTGGACTTAAGGAGAGTGTATAGGTGCAGCTGCAGTGGCCCTACCAGGTGGATATCCCAGGGGCAGATGGGGAGAGGAAGGCCAATGCCCTGGGCATCTAGGGGCCTCCTACACTCTGCCACACTGTGCAGTGCCTTGCCTCTGGCACACAGAGCTCTTTCAGGAGCCTAGATCCTCTGCTCACAAGCTCACATGGGGGAACAGGTAGTGCATTTAAGGTCTGATCTCAGTTGGGAGGTCGCAGCAGCACAACGCAGAAACACGCCCGGGAGCAGGAGGTCAGCTTCCCTCACAAAGGCTAGGAGCACAGTAGGACAGAAGAAAGACACTTTGCAGGTGCTGAACACAACTCCCCATCCTCAGGTTTCTCCTCTCCTATCCTCCTCCCCACATTTTCCCCACTTTGCTACCACACCCAGGCCTTCTAGCAGGGACGATACTGGGGGGGGGGGGGGGCGTTCTCTGAGGCTGAATGTTGGCAGTGATGGTGCAAGAAGACCCAAGTACCAGGATGGAGGCCTTGGCCTTGCCCTTCCATGGGGCCCAGGGAAATGATTTGTGAGCATGCTAACAAGGAAAACGCAAAGTTCAGAGGTCAGGTCAGGCAAGCCTGGTAGCAGGTCTGCAACTAGGGGGCAGTAAGTTTAATGTCACCCTTGTTTTACCATGAGCAAAAGAACCCAAAGAGTTTGGGCGACTGGCCCCAAGCCACATTTCCAATACTTCCAAAAGGTGGAGAGTATAGACGACATACTACAGCCATGCAGTAGCCCTGCTGACCCAATGCTCCCATGGAGTGGAGTGCTCCTTGAAGCAAAGTATTGGGGTGCAGGTAGCCCAGGCACATCCCCCACTGGTACCTGTACACTTCTTCCAAAGCCTAACACTTGATTTCAGTAGCTGACTGGTTCCTGTTGGAGGGAGGGGACTCGTGGGCTTGGGGCCAGCCACACACACAGTGTCTGGCTGCTCAGCCAGGTCCAGCCACTACTGACTCCATACACCAGATCTCAGAAACCACTCCAAGGAGGGCAGCCCACATACCTGAGGCACAAGACTTTCTGTCTCCTCCAGCTTCTGCACCAGGTCATGCTCTTATATACCTCTGGCCTTTTGACACCATCATATTGTCTTTTTCAAGAATATCCTTTCCCCAAACTAAATTCCAAATGTCTAAATTCTATTGTCCATTAAATCCATTACAAATACTGATTTTTTTTAAAGGTACCCTCTTCTGGTCCAGGGATGGAAGGAGTACATAGCATAGACAAGATGGCATACTGTAACATCAGTAAGGGAACAGCAGTGTCCAGATAATTAAATAAAAGAAGAGTACCCTACTTCATTTATAATTGTGGATTCAGTGATCTTACATGGTGACTAGTGTCGAAAGCTCCCACCCCTTCATGGCAAAAAATATTGTAAGATATGTGGGCCTCAAGATATATTTAATTTTGCCAAATACCCTAAGGTTAGTTAGGAATGAGGATGTCTCCTTCCTCAGACCCCTGCATCTTGTCAGTTTCTAAATAGACAGGATTTAAGGCTACAGAACACATTTCTATGTTCTATTTATCACTATTCAAGGATTAGCCATTGATCAGACCTGGCAAGGTTTGCCAGACTTGTGAATGAGGTGGGTGATTTACTTAAGGAAATAATTCCATGGCCTATCCCTAGACCTCCTGTATGTGTACCTGGATTCTCTTGGGGTTATTAACTTGTCACCTAAGCATTGGCAGAGTTAAACAAATGTCTTCATGAAACCTTTAGGATCATTTTAGCTCTCCCACCATCATGGCTTCCCTTTGTATTCTCTTCTGTTACAGTCCAGTACTAATTTCCTTGATCTCCTAATTCACTCCCCAAGAGACAGCAGGACATGGTGGTTTAAAGCATGGGCTTGGGAACCAATCTCTCCGGGTTCTGACCTTGGTTCCGACATTATATAACTGTGACATGGGATACATTACTGAATATCTCTATGCCTCAGTTTCCTTACGATAATAGTACCTACATTGCAAGACTATCTTGAGAATTTTATAAGTCATTATAAACATTTAGAACAGTAACTGGTATAGATTACAAAAAAAATCTTGTTAAATAAAATAAATACCTGTACTAGAGCGGATAATATCTGTTCCAACAACATGGCCCAGCAGGTCATATTGATTCAGGCGAGAGCCATCCTGTGCTACTTCCACAGATTTGTTCTTCCCAAGTGTCCAAGAATAAACCACTTCAGCCTTTGTATAGGCGTCTAAGGCAGAAAAGGGTCAAGAAGGAGAAGTTGAAGGGAAATAAAATTGTTATTTTTTACACTAAACTTGCATGAGATTGAAATATAACTTACATCCCAAAAGAGTTCTGGGTAGGTGTTCTCTCTTCAACTGAAGTACATGTATCCATCTATCTAATAAACAATCATTGTATAACTACTATAGTTTATGCTGGGTACACAGAAATGAACCCAAAGTGGTCTCTTCCTTCAGTGACTCACAGTCTTTGGGACTGCCAATAAATTGTTACATATTTTCTTCTCTTGGAGTGTGAAGAAAAAAGATGAAAGGGAGAAATGGATAAAATGTTATCTAATTCAGCTGTCACAAATTCAGATGCTTATATGAACTAGAGAGGTACCCTAAATGAGTAAATCAGGTTAGTTGTAAGAAAAATTAACTGCCATAAATGTAACAACTTTTCTTTAATTAATTATAGGGTGACCATATGAGATAAAGTAATAAAATATATACTAGGATTTTTTTTTTTAATTTAAAGAAAGTAAACATTTTAAATTGAAATGGCAATACTTAATTATTACTATTTTCTTTTGAAACTTATTACCACTCTGATTGGAAAACCAACAACCTGCCACATTTTTTCTGCACCAGAGTGTTAATGTTAGGTTTTATATTTGGAATTCCAATGTCAAGTAAAGAATTTAGTACCAACTGAAAATGAGGGGTGAGGCTATTTAATTTGTCAGTATATTAAAGGAAGATACTTCTTTTTCTTCCAGACATGGATTGACTCTTTGCACAGTGGGTTTTATTTTTGGTATGAGCACCTTGCCTAACTCCGGCACCTAGGCTCATAAAGGGAAGTTGACCACTTCTTGTTTACCCATTTCATCCAAGTTTTGGGCTGGTGCTATGTCCATAATATGCTCTCTTTAAACCTTTTACTTCAAAGCAAATAATTCCTAGTGAATTTACCAATGAACAAATATAAACTCTGTGTCCATACAAAACCTTGCCACTTGGATATACATTTCATAACAGTCTGATATTAACCTTATACACACTAATTATGATCTGCTTATATTACACTTCTTAGGACTTTTTAAATATACCCAAGTAAACCATTCCTGATTTGCTTGTAGTGGGAAACATGCCAAAAAGATTGTAATTTACATAAAAATATCATTGAAATCATGGAAAATGATATAACTCTATGGTATATTTATATTTGTGCTCTCATAAGCTACAAAAGAAAGTACCACAAGAAATATAATTTTTCCACATAATATGCACTGTTTGGTCTCAGTTATTTCTTCAATACAATGACAAAAATACTTCTAGTTCAACATACAATTTCTGCTGTGATTAGTAGACATTTTAATAAATTTAGCATTTATAAAATATTTTTATACCTGGGAAGGTTTGTTGCTTAATGCTTAACTGCATTTTCCAGTAGCAAAACTTAAAGTATGCATTCAAACACAAAATCTATTTAACTTTCAGGTTCAATAAACAAATAATAAACACACACAAAAAAAACAATCTGGAATTTTATGTGATATTTCCCAAATTTCAAATCTTAGCAAATAATTTTTAAAAGTATAAACACTGTATATATAAGTAAATCACACCTGAAAACCACCAATGTTCAACCTCTGGTCTAGACACTTTCTCCTTGGAAACAAAGAATCTGCTGCTGCCTATGAGGTATCTAGGGCTCCCAGTTGGAATTGTAGATGTTTAAATTAGTATCAGCAAGAAGAAAGGGAAATCTCTTCAGGACTCTTCTCACACCCTTACCCAAAATTGATTCTAAGACTATTAAGTGAGGACTGTAACGGGGCTATTAGTGAAATGTGATTTCATGTCCTCTCATTTTCCTTAGTGCCTTCCATTTTTAGTTTCATTAATTCAGAGAATCAACGCTGTATGTCTTCTTATCTTTGCTGCGTAGATGACTATAATTCCCTATGTTCAAAAAGCAATGCAATATTCTGCTCAATATATCCAAGAGTTTGAAAATGTAAAAAGTAGAATAGGTCTGTTTAGGAAAAGTGTAAGATGTGGAAGATATCTTCCACCCTAAGAAAGAAAAGGAATTTCTTGCTGGATCTCTTAACTTAAGCTGAGTACCTTGAGCAGACAATCCTGAATATTAGCCACAAATTCAAACATGTCCCAGTACAGATTTGTTAATAAATTATGCATCTATCAGTACCTTAGAAATTTCACTGGGTCCACAGTGGCAACTTGCTTCATAAAAAAAAAAAAAAAAAAAAAAAAAAAAAAAAACGTTTGCCTTGGCGAGTATGGCTCAGTGGTAAAAGTGTTGCCATGGACCAAAGAGTTCCAGGTTCAATTCTGGCCAAGGGCATGTACTTCGTTGTGGTTTGTCCCTGGTCCCAGTAGGGGTTGTGCGGGTGGCAATAAATCGATATGTCTCTCTCACATCGATGTTTCTTTCGCTCTCTTGCTCCCACTCTATCTGAAGATTAATATAAAAATATCCTTGGCTGAGAATTAAAAAACAAACAAACAAAAAAACCAAAAAGCAATGGTTTAGTCTGGCCAGTTTTTCTCAGTGGTTAGAGTGTCAGTGCACAGACCAAAGAGTCACAGGTTCAATTACTCGGTTGCAGTTTGGTCCCTGACCCTGGTCGAGGTCTTACAGGAGGCAACTAATTGATGTGTCTCTCTCATGTTGATCTCTCTCTCTCTCTCTCTCTCTCTCTCTCTCTCTCCCCTCTCTCCCCCTCTCTCTCCTTTCCCCCTTCCCTCCCTCCCTCCTACTCTATCTGAAGATAAATGGAAAAGTATCCTTGGGTGAGAATTTTCAAAAAAAATTTAAAAAGCAATGGTTTGATTTCTTTGACATTAATATACAATAATAAGGGGGATTATGGAGGAAAAATATTCTCTTCTCATATGATCGAGGTAAAAGCAGGAAAGGGATGAAATAATAGTTGAAGAGAGAAGAGAGAGAAATACATTTTAAAAAATTGAAAGCTATGTGATTGAGTGTCTGCTCACAGTCTGACCCTGTACTGGTAAACAAAGGTTAATAAGGCACAGTAATTGCCATCAGGGTGCCCATAATTTATTGGGGAAAACAGAAAGCTTATACTTGTCATAGTACAAGCCTGAACATGAAAAGTATGCACACTAGTGGGACAAAAAATAAGTGTTAAATGAAATCAGAGGAGAGCGCTACTGCTTCTGCCCCAAGTGGAGTGTTAGAGAATGATTCATGAAGTAGATACTTAGAAGATGAGACCACCTTTGGTACTTGAAAGGACATTCCTAGCCAAAGAACACAGCAAAAGCAAAAGCATACAAAAACATGGAGTGTTAGGGACTCCATGGTATCTCTGGACTTAGAAGCTAGAGAAAAGCTGAGCTAATATTATAACATATGCTAATTGCCCACACTAAGAGATAAAAATTTTAGTTCACAGGTTATAAGTTATTGTGTATCTGACCAAAGTAGAAAGATGATATGTCCAGATTTATGCTTTAGAATACCCACTTTAGCTGCAGTATGCATGACTAGTTGGAAAAAATGAAACTGTAGCCAAGACAACAGTGGCCCAAAGAGCGATGGTAAACTGGGGTGTGAGAGGGGCCAGTGTGATCCAGCTCCCCACAGGACCTGAGGGGAGCTGGGGTACCAGAGAGGCCTGTATGACCCAGCTGCCCACACGATAGACAGAGTAGGGTCTCCAGAGGAGATTGTGCTATCCAGCTCACCAAGGGATCAGCAGGAAGCAGAAACTCCAAGGGGGCCTGTACAACCCAGCTGCCCACAAGATCAGTGAGCAGCCAGGACTCCAGTAGGGCCTGGGTAATACAGTTACAGGTGACACCAGTGACCAGAGGGGAACACAGCTTCAGAGGGGTCCACAAAATCCAGCAGCGGCACCTACCGGGACACACCAATACCAGCCCCCAGTAGTCAATCCTCCAGGGTCCACAGCAGGCAAGAGGCAACATGCAACAGAACAATCTGGGAGGCACAGTAGCTTATTTGATATACAGTGAGCTGCCTACACATACAAACATCCCTCAGCCAGTCTATAGCTACCATATGGCTATAATGGGGAAACAAAGAAACAACACCCAAAGAAAAGAAAAAGAGGAATCACCAGAAAAGGAACTACAGGAAATAAAAGGCAGCAACTTGTCAGATAAAGAATTCAAAGCAATGATTTTAAGGGTGCTCAAACAATTTGGTGAGAACTAAAAGCAACTTAAGAATTATGAAGAGCTCACTGGGAACTACTTCAGCTTATAAAAAGAGGTAGAAATTATGCATAAAAATCAAGAGGAAATAAAGAAAGACATAGCAGTTATGAAAAATACCTTAGAAGGGTTTAATAGTAGATTAGAAGAAGCGGAAGGCCAAATCAGTGACTTAGAGGACAAGGTAGAGAAAATCACTCAAATAGAGCAGCAATTGAAAAAAATTTTTAAAAGCAGGAGGAAAGTTCAAGGGAGCTGTGGGACAATACAAAAATGTAACAACATTCACATTATAGGGATACCAGAAGGAGAAGAATCAGAGAAAAGAAGAGAGAACCTGTTTGAAGTAGTAATAACAAAAAACTTTCCTAAACTGGTGGAAAAAAAAGTCACACAAGTCCAGGAAACACAGAGAGTCTCAAGCAAGATGAACCCCAGAAGACACACAGCTAGATACATCACAATAGAAATGGCATAAACATTAAAAACAAAGAAAAAATCTTAAAGGAAGCAAGACAGAGACAGAAAGTTACCTACAAGGGAGCTCCCATTAGACTGTCAACAGATTTCTCAATAGAAACACTGAAGGCCAGAAGGGAGTGTCATGAAGTGTACAAAGTAATGCAAGGCAAGGGTCTGAATCCAAGACTACTCTATCCAGCGAGGCTATCATTAAAAATTGAAGGAGAAGACGAGAGGTTCACGAAGAATAAAAAGCTAAAGGAATTTACCACTGCCAAACCAGCACTCCAAGAAATGCTGAAGGGACTATTGTAAAAAG